TTCTTATTAAAAAAACTAATACATGAGAAGCAAGCTTGTCTGCCTGTTGCAATGTTGCAAAATTAACACTAGGATCACCTAAATCAACATAACCAATTAACTCTCAAGAATGTTTGTCCCAAACAAGATTTTCTTGAATTTTCATTTCATCAAGAACTAGGACAATAAATTTTTCTTGAGCTGAAAAATCTTTGATCTTATCTTTTAATTCTGTGATTATATTTTTATTAAATCCTAATTTTGGTTTCACATAATTTTTATAGTCACGTAGTCGCCTACGACTTGGTAAAATTAAAAAAACAGAATTATTTTTATCATTTAATCTTAGTGCTTCATAGGCAGCTGGTGATTTTGCAGCCAATCCCAAACAGTAACGTATTATTGCTGGATGATAACGAGTTCCTTGTTTTGAGCTTTTTAAATTTTTTTGCTGCTCCTCCCAAAACAGGTTCATAAATGGAGAAATCTTGCTTTTATCAGCTCCTGACATTATTTTAACTAAATCACTTTCAGTATCTTTACTTATAGTTAGTGATGAATTTTCAATTTCTTGCTTCATCAAAGCTAATTCCATTTTTAATTCTTTATTTTCCAGGCGAACACTCTGTAATGTAAGCTTCAGACGATCTGGAGATGTAAATTTAATTGGTGCATTTAATTTAGCAGGGATACAAGCATTAGTAATATTTTTTTTCAAACTTATGATTTCACTTTTTTCAATGTTTTTTCATTAAGAACATGATAACATCAAATCAATCAGCATAATACATGACTGAGATCGAAAATACTCTGTCTGATTCAGGGGAAACTCAGTCCTAGATGAAAATAATTCGAACTTTTTAGAAATACAATGTTTAATATAAAGATTTGATTTTAAAGAAAATATATTAGTTATTCCAGAGCAAAGGCTAAAAGAAGTAACAACAGAAATAAGATTTGAAGCTGAAATATTTCGCATTGATCTTCTGTATTTTGTATATATTGAGTGATCATCTGGAATGAGCCAAGAATATACACGATGGGTAAAAGCAAGACTGTCATCAACATATATTTCATATCGAGGACATAGGTGAATTGTGTCATAAAGTTTAAATTCTGCCACAACAAGACTCACACTCACTGTCCACTCACAAATCTTTAACTTGCTAATACGATTTGTAAATTCTTCATATGATTTATATATAGGCTTGAAGGTAATTAAATTATTTGAATTCATTGAAGCATCTCTTTTAGCAATGATAGAAGAAGCAGATTCTATTTGTACAGGAATCGATGACATAAAACCTTTTTTCGGTAAGCACATAGTCGGTAATGATCCAGGTTTTAGTGACTTTCTGTTATTGTTATGAAGTATCATTTCTGGAAGATAATGCTTTTCACAAATAAACAGAGATTTACTTTCTATTTGAGCTTTCAAATTACAATCTTCAACACGATCTTTAAGTATAATGGCAATTAGATTTTTCCTCTAAGAAGTATTAAAACTATCGCTAGATGAAGGAATTTTAAATATTGAAACTCCCTTATGCCTTCTAGAAGTACTGCACCCATAAATAGAACAATTAGCACCAGGCATTTAATTAATTCGATGAAGAAGATGTATTTTAACAAGCAATTCATAGACAAACAATCGACAAAAAAAAACTTTGTGCACTCTGCGTGGGACTGGACACTAAAAAAAGGCAAACAAAGAGTTGATCAAAGAAATACCGCAAGTAGCCAGACTATCTATTTCTTATGACTATGCTATAACTTAGACTTAAATTAAATCTTACTTTACAATGCATTGTGACGTGAAAAAAATTATTTGTCTGAAAACTTGAAGTTTGTATGATACTATATGATTATATGAAGACTAATTAGTTGATAATTGCAGCAGTTTGATTGCAATTATGTTCCGAAAGTAATAAAGTTATTTGAATAAATTTACGCTAAATTATAGATATTTAAATTTTCTCTTGAAATAATAGCATTATTAAAACTAAATCTCATAAATAGTCAAATTATCTTATAAAAATGTTTAATAACATTCGACTTAAAGTATTTGAAAAAATTAAAGACACTATTTCATCACAACTTATGTCAAGACAAATCGTAGATTAGTATATTAGCATGCTCAAAAACGAATTAAATGTATACATCAATTTAAATGATGATTTTAGTCGTTTTGAAAAAGCTATTCTCGAAATTGTATGCAAATGCCAATCAAAACTTCGAAAAAAATATTTTCGAAATAAGAGCAAGTTTTTAAGTGGAGAGTCATTTTGGCTTAACAATAAAATTTTGTCTTTAATTAATCAGCTACCTAGCGAACAATCATCACAAACCGTCGATTTAAATGTTTCTTGTTTAAATGAACAGTCATTTGGAAGACCATGTTAAAAATACGAAGATATGTTCTACTAAAGTAAACGTTGTCACGCATCCATATTGTTAGTAAATCATGATCGTGATAAAATTTTACAAGCAGCAGAAATGGGGTTAAAAAAGAAAAAACGATATAGTTTGCTGTACGTATTAAAAGAATGTTTATTAAATGTAGATTCGGCAAATGAAATAAAATGTTTTATTCAGGACAAAAACAAGCAAATTATACCTAACACGCCACTAGAGATATTAGCATTAATGACAGCTATAAATTTATTGAAGAAGCAATATCAAGTTATGCGAAATAACTCAATTAAATGTAATGCGAATATATATCCTACATATAACAACATTCGCGCGAAAAAAAAAGTGTTATCCTGATGGTATATATATAGCTGAAAATGGAATGAGAGGCGAAGTTTTACTGAAAGAATTGTTATACCATACAGTTCATCAAATGTTGCAAATAACTACTGTTAAAAACAGAATATCGAACTTGATTCCCTTGAATCCTGTTTAGGAATGACTTTGTATTGCAAAAGGGGCTCCGATGGTGCAAATAGCCAAAAAGAGTATAAACAAAACTTTTACGTCCAAATAAACAACAATAATGAATGTAATTTTTTATCGTCTGATCAAAACTTGTTTTCTACTTGCCTAGCGCCACTTAAGTTATCGTATGATGTTATGACAATTTGGGAAAATCAAGTGCCTTTTTCAACGCGGTTCTACCGCACACTAAGAATTCAGTGTATTGCTGAAAACCCATTAGTTTTAAGAGAAGAAAAAAAATAATTTGACAAGCAAATCGATTTGCTTGAGGAGAGTGTAATGATTATTGATGTAGAAATAATGGAACTAGAAGTGAAAAGAAGCTTGTAATTGAAGTAATCTTTAATCTTAAGCTTACAATGATTGATGGAAAAGCAGTAAATGCAATTTGTGACAATAAATCGGCTCAAAGTTATAATATTTGCAAATGTACTCTTAGATCAATAAACAACTTAGATAAAGCTCTGTTCCGTTCAACGGATTTGCAAAGCTTAGAGTTTGGGTTATCGTCGTTACATGCATGGAATCAATGTTTCGAGTGTATTCTATATATAACTTATAGATTTGATATTAAAGAATGGCAAATACGTGGACCTGAAAATTTAAAATTCAGCGTGAGTTAAACTAACTTTTTTTTTACAGCTGCTAATTTTATTAGTGCAAAAATTGGCCTTATTGTTGACATGCCTCTTCAAGGGCGATCTAGGTCATCAAATGATGGCAATACTACTCGTTCTGCTTTTTGTCAGCACGCGTTTTCGCGAATAACAGGAGTCAAGAAAGATTTAATCTACAGGCTATACATTATTCTATCTGTCATTAATTTAAGTAAAAAAATTAACATAGCCAAATATGAAACATATTGTTTGGAAACTGCAAATATTTTTCTTCGAGAGTACTCATGGTTTTACATGCCAGCTTCTGTACACAAACTACTCATTCATAGTAGTCTGACAATATCTAGATTTATGCTACCAATCGGAATGTACTCTGAAGAAGCAATCGAAGCTCGGAATAAAGAAAATAAAAATATTCGTTTACAGCACACTCGTACATTTGATAGGAAAGCTACAATGACGGAACAATTCATTTATTGAATACTTTCGAGTGACCCAACTCTTTTATCTCTAAACTGTGCAAGATCGAAATGTAAAAATAAAAAAATTAATCTAGATGGAGACGCACTTGATCTTCTTTTTCAAGAAGCTGAAAAAAAAAAAATTAAATAATGCTAAGGATGATATTTATGCGGATGAAGAATATAATGAGTTAGATGAGAATGATGATTTTGATGATAGAAATGAGGAACTAAAATCAATAAACATAAATGAAATAAGAAATTTAAATGAGCACAATGACATGATTGAATCATCTGAAAATAAAACCACTGATTTGCTATTTCATCACTGTGCCGACTTTGAAAATACTGACTAAGATTTCATTTATACTATTTTTACCATTTAATTTAAACAAAACTATTATGTGCACTAATATGTAAAATAAGAATAAATTAACCTTGAGCTAAAAAAAAAAAAAAACTAATTTTTAAATGACTATTTTATATTAACAATAAAAAATATAGTTGGTGTAATTCACTGGAAGTATATATATATATAAATATATATATATATATATATATATATATATATATATATATATATATATATATATATATATATATATATATATATATATATATATATATATATATATATATATATATATATATATACATATATAGTCTATATCCAGTGTAATTCACTGGAATATATATATATATAAATATATATATATATACATACATATATATATATATATATATATATATATATATATATATATATATATATATATATATATATATATATATATATATATATATATATATATATATATATATATATATATATATATATATATATTAACGAGCTTCTGGCTGATAGCAACTGTTGTAAGTTAAAATATTGCCATTATATAATTTTTTTTAATAGTTAAATATTATGTTTCATAAATAAAGGCACGTTTATGGGTTTGTGTGTTTGTGTAAGCGCATACGTTTTAAAGTTTAAAATTATTTTCAGGTACGGCAACTGTATTCAATCCAGAGGAAACTATTAAAAACTCTTTAAAATTAACCATTGAAGTATCGGATTTTATTGATACAAATGATATATTGTTAAATGCTATACTTGAAGAAGGAATAAAAGGATTGTATAAACACAAAGATGATATTCCACGAAGAATATTTATGAAGCTAGGTCGTCAGTTGGGGAGATATTAACTACACTGTAAAAAAAAAAAGGGTTTTTAAATAGCTCTAAAAGGTTTTTTACTTTGTCCCGAGGGTGGAACCCTTTAAGGGTTTTCTAGAAAACCCTTTTTTTAAAAACCTTTAATCCGAAACTAGAAAACCTTTTTTAACTTGTACTTTCTTTTTTATTTGAATTATAAATTATTCAAAATTTTTTTATATTACGCAATAGCGATTTCAAGCACGTATAAAGTTGGATATATATAACGTATAAAGTTTTATATTTAGGATAGTTTGAATATACACTTTAATTTATACATTTATTATATTTATACTCTTTAACTTATACATAATATTGCTTATATACAAATGTTTAGATTCTTTAATTCCACTGCAATTTGGCATGCAATATAAAAGCTCAATAAAAAAACTTTTTTGATGATGTTTAAAATCTTATAACATTAAATTAATATACAAAAAAGTTTACATAAAATAATAAAAACATCAGAAACATGTCAATAAATGTTGTACGAAAAAAAAAACAAATTGTACAAAACGTAAAAAAATTGAAAAATAACGTTAAAACTATAATATGAAACTATTATGAGCAAATTTATTGCTACAAATTTAACTATTACAACTGTTATATTTCAACGTTATAAGTGATATTGAAGTTTATTGAACGTTAAGACCTATTTTCAAAAATTAAATTGAGAAATCGCCTAGTAGCACAATAAAATATAATAAAATTTAGAAATATTGCGTATATTCAGAAGTTTTTTTCGAATTTAGTGACAAAAAAACATAAATAAATTATAAAGATTTACAACAAAAACAGACAAAAAACTAAAGTCATAAATTTTAGTGCAAAAGACGGTTGCCCCATTTGCTGACAAGATTTGGCACTTTTTCTTTCCCACCAAGAAGCACTTTTTCTGAAAATTGACATGTATTGGACAATCCTTTTGGAAATTCAATGCTGAATATCCAAAATGCTGCAAACCATGCTTGAAAAGCCGCGGATAAAGTGCAAATAGTTTTAGGAAACAAAACTTCCTTGTCGACTGATATATTCCACTCGCCGTCTTGTGACAATATGACTAGACTAAGTGGTATTTGCTGTTTAAATAAATAAATACAATAATTAATTTCATTAAAAAAACAACCTGAAACAACCTAAAAACCCTTTAGTACAAAACTTTGAGAATCATTCAATTTTAAAATTTCTTATTTGAATACATTACCATATTATACAAATTATTGCAAACTCCTCAGCTAAAGGACATCACTTTTTAAATTGTGTCCTTCGTATGAGAGTATTTACATGGACTTAAAATATTCAATAACTTATTTTCTCAAACCAGTAAACTTTTGCATTTCCTTAGATCTAATATTTCCTAATATTTCTCAGACCATCTTGTTATAAAATGTATATTAGTTTATATAGTTAAATAAATAAGAAATATATTATATTGGAATCGACATAAAAAATGGACTATAGAAAAAAAAAGATCAAGTGCAATTTCCTAAATAGTGTACAATGTACCAATAAACATCTACATGCTTTGGTAAGGGAAAAAACAACTCTTCTTTCTCCCCAAATAATGAGGGTAACAGCAATGTAACAAACATCACCTTCCAATCTAAAAGTATTTATATCTTTAATTGTAAATATATGGAAAACAATACATTTGATAAAACTAGTATATATAAAATAGCAGTATTAGCACACATGTGTAATGTATTAAGAAATGGTCAAATGTTTTCAAGTTAATCAATATTTGCTGAAATTACTCGTGGAATTACTAAACTCGTGTAACTCATTGCCTACTATAACTAGTATTAACTGATGTTGGAAAAAACAACTTTTTATTTTACAATTAAACCAAAATTGTAAAAATGAAAAATAAAAATAAATAAAAATTACCCTGTTGTTTATCATTGTCCAAAGTTTCTTTAAATATTTGTTTATCATTCTTGAATATTCACAATATTTTTTGCATCTTTTGGCTGCTTCTTTGATCACAGCATCATAAAGGGTTAGGATTTTCATTTTTAAATTGGTTACATCTACACCATACAGCAAAAGCACATCTGCTGTAAACTTTAATTTAAAAAAATCATTTGTAAAATTCACCTACATTATGTTATTACAAAAATAAGACTATAATTTAAAATTTAAATGTTCATAAGGTAATAATTTTTATATAGTCTTTCATAACTGTCAAAGAAAGTCAATAAAAATATTGTAAAAAAAAGTACATTTTATAAAAGAACAATGGTTCTTTATATAATCTTACAAAAATATTTAGTCGTAAACACGGAAATTCTTCCAGAACTTCTGCAATTGTGTGGGCATGGCAGAAAAGTTGTCTGTACTCACAAGTTTTTTTCATTTTATCTTTGATTATATCAAAGCTTGGTGTCTGTTTTTTTATTTCTTTTTTTAAAGCATCTTGATGTTTTTTTATGCTTATGTCATCATCACCTTGTACCACATTAGCCAACTAATAAAAAGAAGTTACAACTGTACATAGAGTGGTATATTATCTTACAATAATCAGCTTGTGAACAGTAACCAAAATATACATTTTTGACATGAAACATCTAAATAATGTCACATTAAAGTAATTATACAAGGTTATAGCAAGTAATATGTATATACATTATTACATACCTTAACTCAAGCTGTTTTTGAGAGGGTACTGTTGTCAGGATAATTAATTTCAACTTGATCTACTTTTCGTTTTCTTCCCGAAACACCAGGTCTTCCAAATTTTTCTCTTGTTACAGCAATTGGATTTTCGCTACAAAGGGGTTGTCTGTTTTTTTTTAAATTTCCTTCGAAGAGCTACTCTAATCGTATTCTAAACTCAAATTACTTATTTAAAATGTGAAATAGACATATATATTAAATTTTACAATACAATTTTCATATTTAACAAATGATGACAAATATAAATATAATCAATAATATATAAAATGGTAATTGCATTACACTACTTCCATCATAATCAGCCAAAAAAGGATATTTTAATATAACTGCTGAGCTAACAGCAGAATATATTCTTCTGGTTGGATACCTGTATAAAAAGTTTGTTATAAAACATTACAAAATATTTAATATTGATATTATAATATAAATCTAGCAAAGTAAAGAACAAATTATTGTTTTAAATAAAAAAAATAATTAATCATGAAAAAAAATTGTAATGAAAATTGAGAAATGGAAAACGCAGAGTCGGCAAAGTATAAAATAAGAACAATAATTTTCAACTTACAAAATGTCACGCCTTTTTAAGTCATCAAATAGTGCATCAATTAAGAGCGCTTTGCTTTTTGAGCCTAATCCAAAACTAGCCTTGTCTTGACATTGTAGCTTAGCTACAACATTATCCGGAAAAAGTGGCAACTGATATACAAAAGGAAATTCTTGCACCTGGCTACATAAATAAAATAATCTATCACAGTAATTCAAGCAAACCAGAGTTTTTTCCTTAAATTACTCTGAATTAAATTACATCATTCAACTGTAATTAAAGTAAAGGTAAAAATATACTTTATAAAAATAAAATTTATCATTAAATGCATAATAGTTCATGAACACAAGTATTATACAAATATTAAAGTTTTAAAATTAAATTAAAGTAAATTCAAATCAATGATAAAGTTTTATTATTAAAAAAATATGTATATAAAGTAAAAATACTATAATAAACCTATGTACACATTCAGCTTCTTCAATTTCTGGAAAACTGCCACTGTTTGTTGTTTAGCCCTTTTCATTATTTACACTGATAACACTTGATACAACTGCAGTATAGCTAGATTCAGAATTATCTAATGTTGCTGAAACAGATTGTTTTGTTGTTTTCAAAAGACGAATAAATTTTATCCGATCTTTTTTATTAATGGTAAAAGCTATTTCAGCATTTTCTCTGTAAGGTCACATAAATAGTCACCAGTTAATTCATGCCCTATTGCAAATAAACAATAAGAACAATAGTTTTACTAAACATACATAGTTTTCAAATAAATAAACTACATAAAATAAACAAACTAAATAAGTATTCAAATAATCATGTCATTAAATTGAAGAGCAAGACGGATGCATAAAGCTATATCTCATGCTCACATACTGAGAGATGTTGAATTTAAAATAGTCATGCCGATTAAAATCAATAAAACGTCCTGTTCTGCAAACTGTCCACTCATTTTCATCCAAAACTTGATAAGAATGCAAATGATGTGAAAAACAATTTGGTGTCAATAGGTTTCCACATAACAACCAACAGTCGCGTAAAAAGACAATGTATACCACTTTAAAAAAAATTGGGACAGTTTCTTCTGTAACAGTATGCAACACATACACTGCTTTAATATAATAGAAAATACTATCAACTGATATTGATTTCGCTATAACTATGGATTTATTCCCTCATATATCTAAATTAAGTAACAATCTTATAGCTTCTTGTACTTTAACATCCAAGTTATGAAAAAATCTAGGTGCGTTTCCAGACACAGTATAACTAGATAAAAGCATATCATCTGTCAGCATTTCCCAGCACTGCAACATTTGATGACGCTTTGACAATGTTTTGGTAATATTCTTAAAACATCGTCCATTTGAGGCAGCTTTTTTAAAATACTGATGTTTAGATTCAAATCGTAAACACCAAAAATTTCGTAAAGGCCCAAAAAGACGTATCAGACGAGGGTAATGAACAAGCATGTGCATTTTTGGAATAATATATTTAGAACCAAATACTTCAGAAAATGTTTTTAAAAACATAGCAACTAGTTCTTCTAATATGTATATACTGTCACTGTCTGCAATTGGGGCAATAACAATGTCACATATTTCACGAAGTATAAGATAAACCTCCCAGCTAATATTTCCATGTGGTACATCATTACCGACTAACTGCGGAAACAATAGGAAAAGTTCTAATTTCTGTGCAGCTGTTCCATTTATGTGTGCTTTATCAGATGCATTGTTTTTAGGTAATTGGCAAGGGCGATTAGATGAATTAATTAAATGAATTTTGTTTATAGAATCGTGTATATTATTTACTGATAATGTATCACAAGAACGCAACAAATGTTTGATAACACATTTCAAAGTTACTGGCATAATGCCTTCAAATAAATCATGCATTATATCTGGAGGGAAAGCTGTAAGTACATCAAAGTTATCTAACTCTAAAAAATCACACTTTTTGCTAACACTATACACATTCTTGTTTGCTGCACTATAAATTATAGCAGCCAAGTGGTATTCATGAATTTGTGGTGTTCTGAGACAAAGAGTGCTTTCACTAAAATTATTTCCAATTTCTGACTTGTCCACCATACAGAAACGACAAATTCTTCCTGTATGGAAATAATGCTGAAATCCTCCTATAGCATGAGCTGAAAGCATATCAGCTGATATACCTGTAAGTTTGCCTTTTAAACGTTGACGTAATCCATTGACGGAAACCTCAATTCCTTCTCTCTGCAGTACATTTAAATCATAAATTAATGGACGAAGAAATTCAGTGTAGTCATATTCAGCCATTTTTATAAACTTATGTTCAATCAATAAAGCCAAATGAATAAACTTTTGCTTTGAACGAAACTCAGATGGAATATTGCCTAACAAAAAATAAAATGCAGTCACTTTATGCTTCCCTCGCTTTGCTCCTATTGGATTGCAAAGCTCAACTTCATCTACATATAACTGAATCTGCAATACACTTGGATTTTCAGAAAAAAAAATGTCACTATGAAAAAGTTCACTGTCACAAAAAGACATCATAAAATCATTATTAGAAAGAGACTGATTGTAACTGTCACCCAAACAATTGTAAACATCTTCATGGGAAACTAATTTTGATAAAACTTCTAGAATTGGAATGTATTGAAAAACAGCAGTTGTATTATTTATTCTAAATATGTTTGTCTTGGCATTGCAATCATTTTTTTGCTTTTCAATAATCCAATTAGTCTATTTTCATTTGAAGACATCTCACCCATGAATTGCAGCAATCTTTCTGTGTCTGTTATATGTGCCCAATCATTGTCTAGTGGTAAAATATTATTTTTGAATAAATATTGACATATAACATCCTTAAAACTACTTCGTGTAATCAAAAGTAGGTTTTGTATATCTTTTGCAATTTCTGCATGAACAGAAGCTGGAAGTATGTGCAATTGTCTGAGTCGCAAAAGAAGAAATGCAAAATGTTTTTCCAAAGTGTTAAGCATATCAGTAATATTTTTTATTTAAAATCTTGATCTAATTTTACATTATTTTGATCGTTTGATTCTTCGGTTGTTTCAGATGAATCTATGATGTTATCATTTCTATTATTTCTACTCCCCTGATCACTTTCATTATCATTAGACCAGCTTCTTAATAAATTACTGTGCATTCGTTAAACATGTTTTTTTAGACTATTAGCACTTTTGAAAGTTTGCTTGCATGCACTTGAAACACATCTAACGTAAAAAAGAGGCTGATTTTCATGAAACAAGATAAGATGTCGTAAATACTTTCCAAATGAAAAATAATTGTTGCCACATTCACAATAAAATTGGGGCATATTTGGCTGTTGTATATTATCAGGATTCTGAAATGTAAACAGTACAATTAAAATGTTTACTATAAAATGCATAATAATAAAAAAATTACTTTCAAATTCGGCTGCAGTCTTTTCATTAAATCCATTATCTAACAGCCATTTGGCAGGCGACCAGTTTTTAATATTTGCAGACATAATTCTTTAACTTTATTATTAGTTTTACTTTAAATTTTAATTATTAGCTTTACTTTAAAATTGTAAAAATATTTTAATTGACCTATAGGAATCTCATAGATAAATCAGTTAACTTAAAAAGTATACAATTTTGCGTATTTTACATTAAAAATTTTAACAAAATACAATTTTAAATATAATAAAATAAAAGTACTGTTTATTTTATTTAAAATATCATATTTCTAGGCAATTGTAATTTTATTTAAAACCATTTCTATTTTTATCCTTCTTTAATTATGCCTCAATATCAATAAACGGCACTCGGGGTTTTTTATATGATTTATGACGAACAAATCCTTTGCTAAAGGGTTTTCTAACAAAACCCTTTCAAAAAACCTTTTTTTACACACCAAAAGGTTTTCTAGTAGTAGAAACCTTTTTTTTTACAGTGTAGCAACATTAAAAGTAAGTATAATCAAGATTCAAGTAGTCATCAGATTAGTTTTAGCAATTTTATTGTCAATCAACTTCTAGTATTGAATGTGCCAAGCAACCTTCACATATATATACAGGAGCAAATGAGTGATAGATTATCAAATATTATAAAAAGTTATGATTTTTGTATAACTGGGCAAAACATTTATGATATGCTATATAGTTCACTTAGCATGAATCATATAGAAGATGTTAAAAATATTAGGTCATTTTTGGAAAAACTATGGAGACCCGTCGAATTTAATGAAGAGCTTAAATTAACTTTGTTAAATAAAATAACACTGTCTTGTTTAGAAGTTTTAAAAAACTTTGAACACGATATTCCAACAAAAGTGTTTAAAAAGCTAAAAAACCTAATAAATGAAATATCTCCAGGTCGAGATTTTTTGAAAAAAGAAGGTGGAATATACTCTAACGTAAATAAAAGTAGTTCCAAACAACGCCAAGAAAAATTTTCTGACGAAATTATTAACAAATTAAAAAAACAAAAAGAGAGAATATCGATAATGCCCGATTGTTTCGAGAAGTCTGTTTTAAATTTAATTTATTTAATCCGCTTAGAAATTTTACCTGACAACAACATTACTAATTTATTTAAGAAGCAAGAAGAACCAATAAATTTTGACACTTACTTACTGTCTTTAAATGAGAGTTATGCTACTAAGGGACGCAACTTTAACAACGAAATAAAAGAAAACTTACAAAGAGCTGTAAATTTAATTAAAATGGGTCACTTGAATTCAGCACTCCAAATTCTTGAATCATTGTTTAAGCAAATTCAACCACTGGACATCACAGAAATAACCTTATTGTTAGAAAAAGCTTATGAAAACTTTAATCTGATAGAAAATCGTGACGTGATACTTTTATTAGGTATGACGGGATCTGGTAAAACAGCCACTATTCATTTTTTATCCGGTTCTAAAATGGTTGAAAAACAAGTTGAAATTAAACCTGGCAAGTTTCTTAATCATATTACAGCAGCAAAACCACTCCCAGATGCTTTATCTAAATTTGTTATAAGTTTTCGCGCTAAATCAGAAACTAGATACATAAACCCAATTCAAATTAATTTAAAAGATCTGGGCGCATTTACGGATAAGTTTATAATGCTATGTGACTCACCAGGATTTGGTGATACTGCTGGCCCTGAAGTAGATATTGCTAACAGTATAAGTATTGTTGAAGGAATCAAATGTTGCAAAAGCGTTCGACCGGTCATTTTAATGAATTATGAAAATCAAGGTGGTCGAAGTGAAGGTATTCGAGAAATGACAAGAATGATTCAGGATATGGTAATAAACATTGAAGAATATTTGTCTACATTTTCTTATATTTTTACTAAGTATCCGGACATTGACATTCACACAAGCCTTCTTAACATTTACATTAGTGTTGAAAAAATATCTGAGCAAAATGACGAAACATTCAAAGCGATACTAGAAGATATGTTAAAAAAAACTAAAAAAAAATGGAAAATCTTTAGATCTTATCAATGATAATTCTTTAGATGTTTTAAATAAGATTATTAAAACACCTTGCATTGATGATCCTAAGCAAGTGTTTAGGTACACAATGACCGAACGATCAAAAAATGCTCTGTCCATGCAAGCCGAGTACAATAAGTCTGCTATAATATGTGCCGCTAAGACTGACAACTATAAACTAATAAAATATAAAATAGTTGAACTTATATTTTTGTTTACTACTTTAAAGTTAAATGAGGTTAGACAAACTTTAAAGGAATCCATTGATTTTGTAAACACTCATATTAAGAGATGTTACGAAGATACAAAACAAAGACTTAGCAGATGTCTAGACAATCAAAGCAAACTCTCGCTTGATGAACTAGAATACTATGTTTCTCAAATTGAGAAATTTAAAGACCTTCATATTTTTACAGATGTTGAGCCTTTGGTAAAAGTAAGTAGATTAAGCGAAGCGTTGGTTCAAAATTTGCGTTTAAAATGTGATCAAGAGGCAGAAAATTTTACATCTCTGAATATATTTCATGACGATCACTCAAAAACATCATTGTATAACTTAAAATTAATTAGTGAAAAATGTGATAACAAAGGATACATAAGTGCTTGTCAATTTGTAATCGACCAGGTATGCATTTACTGATATCTTATTCATATTTTGATGATTTTTTTTTCAAATTTTACTTTTGTAACTTTTAATAGAATTCTGATAACTTATAAAAATAATGAACTGTGCTTGTTAGGATAAGCTTAAATGTTATATTTTGAAACTCTATTTATAAGTCTATAATTTGTTATAAACTCACTTTTCACTTTTCAAAAAAGTTAATTTGTTATAGACTGAACACTACAAAATTTATTTTTTCTGCTTATATTTTAGGCTTAAGTTTTTAGTTGCTTACTTGCGTACTCTATTTTTACTCTACTTTTTTTTTATTGCGTTTTATTAATATATATTTATTACATATTTATTTTATCATCGCGTTCTTCATTTTTTTATCATTCTCCAATTTATTTTTGTTAAAAATTTTTTGCATATTAAACTTTAATTTGCAAATTAAAACCGACGCAAAAAAAATAGTTTTTAAAAGATGTTATTATCATAGCTAATAAATATTATGAACTTTTTTAACAAATTAATAAAGTCATTTTTTAATTATTTTTATAATTTTGAAATGAATTAGATTTTAACTTTTAGTTACTGCACTTTTACAATTTTGCACAAGTCCAAAATTGTAAAATGCACACCATTATAAATTCACAGATTGAGCGAAATTGATAGTTTTTTGTTTACCAAATTATTCAAAATCTGTACTCTTGATAAAAAAACATTTTTGACGCGTGGTTTGACTCAAAATATAAGATAAAGTAATTTTTAGGCACTGGCCCACCTCGTGTCGTATCAGGGATTGCTAGAAGTTTAAGAAAGATTTCAAAATAAACTTAAAATATATGCAATGGTGCCAGCAATAATATTACGAAGAAAATTTTACATACTAAAAAAGTTTTCGCCCTCATTTTATGGCCAAAAATATGTGATATAGAATTAGTTTAGTACTTAAACTAAAACTGGCTAAATTAAAAAATATATTTTTTTGTTTAATTTTAGTTTTATGAGAATTGCTTTACCAAAAAGTTCTTGTTTCAATTTTAAACATTTTTGGAAGAAATTCACGAAAAAATAATTTTTGGATATCAGTGACGGTTAAATTTTCCAAATTACTTTTAAAAAAACTTTAAATCGAGGGCAATGGTGACAGCAAAATAGTAATGAAGTGCTATTTGGAAAAAATATTATATATTTTTATCGAGGCCAAAAACCTGTAAAACTTACATATTTTTTTAAAATTAGCTTTTAGTTTAAAAATTAATAGGAGAATTTTATGACATAAAACATGTATAATTAAAAAATTGACTTATACTGATAATTAATTCTCTATTAAATTTTAATTGAACTATTAGATATAAAGTAAACCACCCAAGTGTGGACCTTTTTGCTAATTTACTGTTATACCACATATATCATACTGAAACTTATAAATAATGCATTAATTTATTACAATATACACTTAGTTGTCTTAATAAACATTGTTTTAATTTTATTTTCTTAATATTCTGGCTAACAGACCAGATTTAATATTTTACTTTAAGGATCCATATTAGACAGTAGTCATTAAAACACGGAGCCCTAATCAGCATAATGTGGACCCTAGATTAACATTAAGAAATAATGTATATTTTAGTTAGTTTTATAACTTTTGATAGCTACAGTTAAGTAAATCATAGATACCATTCAAATCAAGGTATTTTAAAACGTATTTTAAAAAACTGCTGTTTTTTTTTTTTTTTACATATCAATAAAGTATTAATGATAAAAAAATTACATATGCAGTTCTAAATTATTAGTTTAAAAAGAATATATATATATATATATATATATATATATACAGGGGCTATTCAAGAAAAACAATGTATATATATATATATATATATATACACATATGTACATATATGTATACACACACATATACTTATATGTATACAGACATATATACAGACATATATACATATATATATATACACATATGTACATATATGTATACACACACATATACTTATATGTATACAGACATATATACATATATTTATATATATATATATATATATATATATTTATATATATATATATATATATATATATATATATATATATATATATATATACTCCTAGAGCAACTATAAGGCGACGTGCGTGAAAATCATACTATAAGGCGACAGAGCGTTTTTCTCCACAAAAAATTTTTTTTTTTCACGGAAAACGATATTAAACATTATGATTAAGTTTCAGAAACATAATTATGTTAAATATAATAAAAAATCACTTAACCATCAAAATATACAAAAATTTTAGTCGCCTTAACGATTTTGGCGTTGTTTTTGTTGTCCCCATAACGTTTTGTAACATTGCATCTACCTTAAGTTGACTATTACGGTAACTGCAAAGTTTAATTAGTTGTTTTATATATTTGCGTATATTGACATATATCAATATAAAAGCCGGAAAATTATTTTTTTTAAAATAAGACAACATTCTTTTTTTTTAAAAAAGTTTCATACATACATTTTATACTACTATAAACTGGTGCTTTTATAACAAACTTTAAGCGTATTAGTAAAACAACATATTTACGGGGGAAAAAATTTCTTGAAACTATAAGCTTAGATAAGTTCTATACTGAAATATTATGTTTTTACGAAATTGGAGAGTATGCAGATTTAATTAGTAATGTAGGAGATATAACGGGATGCAAATAAATTCTAAAGCAGTTTGTTTTCTGCAGCAGGTTATCGAAATACTGAGTTAAGATATATAAAATTCTCAACAAAAATTATTACTTTTATGTTTATTTGTCTAGTCTGAGACAATTTTTATTGAATGTGTTTTTATTAAAAACCAAAAACAAAAATTTCAAAACAAACGTGAAAAAATTAGCGCGCCGAGTAAGAAATAAAATCGAACAAAATGCAGCATAAAATAATGTAACTATGTCCATATTTTTATCATTCATCGATTTCTAAAAGCTTAGCTGTTTTTTTCAATTTTTCTACCCGAATGCGACGACAATTAACAATTCTTGCTCGAACATGCGAGTAGTTTATGCCAAACTTTTGGGCAAACCTTTCAATATATGACCGACCTAAAGGCAATCAGTAAAAAAGAAAAACTCATTTAATATATATACAAATAAATACTTTTTATGTTATACATGAAATAAGATACAATATTAAACCATATGAAAATTACGCAAATTATTGAAATCAACGTATTCCAAGTTAACATACTTGGATAACCGCTATCCTTTTTTAAGTAGCTTGCAAATTCATTCTCAAAAGCAGACTTGCTTACTTCTGACCATATTTGGTAACTACGATCTATAACAAAATGTATTTTTAATAATAGTTAAAAACTAGGAGACGTATACCATAAGAGTGGGTCAAAGTACTCACTTATTAACAAAAATTACAAGCTAAAAAAAAATATCTGTGAAAATCAGCCTTAAAAATTAGAAAATAATTGTCAGTCACCGATAAAAGCGAAAACGTTGTGTAAACAGGCTTTAAAAATCGTCGTTATTTGATTTTCGATTTGCCGAAAATGAACTTGGTTTATTTCTCACCAAAGTATAAGCATATTAAACTGTTAAAATTATTATAAAAAATCTTTTAAAATTATGCTGTTAGAAACTGCCCCAAGCCACGCTAGAATTAAATAGTTTTAATCGTGTTTCGTACTTTTTAATTTGAATGTAACTCAATTAATCAAATTACTTTTTAATTTAAATATAAAACTTTTAATTTAAATATAAATTAAATTTATATTTAAATTAAAAGACTTTTTAATTTAAATATAAATTGAATTTTTTTTTTTAAATTCCTCCTCATTGTTTATTAGATCTGGACTAAAATTCCTACCTACACGTTTATTCCCAGGCATTATTTTCTTGCTTACTAAGCTTTATTCTCTCACATACTCTCGAGAGTAATAAGTGATATTTTTAGTCACGAGTCTCATTTTCAAAGTAATAAGTTACTCTCGAGAGTAATAAGTGATATTTTAGCCCATAAAAATATCTGAAAATATGTAACAGGGTGGCCACATAAAATTTTCATAAAAGAGGACATTAGAGGATTTTAGAGGAGATTTTGCATCGAATTTAGAGGATTTTTTTTGCAAAATTTCAAAAAAATATGGGATTTTTTTTATAACTATAAGTTTAATATCCATGTTTCTACATTTATGGGGTTTGGACAGGGGTCAATAATGTGATTTTTTATGTTAAATGGCATGGATTAACTAAAGCAATTTTTTACAATCTGAAGCACTTAAAGGCGTTAACCAGTTTTGCTGACCGGGAATGGGTCTTAAATACCCATTATACTGCCATATATTGGGTATTTAAAATATCCATTATATGGTATACAATTTCAAATACCAAAATTATACTACCATCAAGAAATAAAAAAAATAAAAAGAGGAGTTAAAGAGGAGATTCGATCATATTTTCAATTTTTCAGATAATAGAGGATTATAGAGGTTTTTTTTAAAAAAGAGGACTAATGAGGATTTTAGAGGAGCTGTGGCCACCTTGTATAAATACTAAAATAAATATATGAAAACATCACAAAAGCATATCACTTATTACTCTTTAGTAACAGCATTTCATGGTTATAAAGATCATATCCAATTTATATTAATGTACATTTAGTCTCTAGCTACTAAATGTTTTTTTGTGCGACCCCTCTGTATAAATTATAATGAGAAAAAAAGAACAAATTTTAATTTAGGATATAAACATTTTCTTGTTATTTTTTGGAAATTAAACTATTAACTCCATTGTCACCACCTATAAATAATGATATCAACAATTATCTTTGTACATAAATTAAAAAAACTTTTTATTGCTAACCTTTTTTATTTATTTCAGATGTACTACAAAGAGAATCATTGAAAGCAGGGGCATGGCATTCGTCTAAGTTTTCATCTATATTTTCATCTAGAAACAACTATTTATATAGAAATAAATATGTATAATAAATAAAAATGTAGAAACATTAGTTTCTTTGCTTTACCTCCACAAGAACGGTTAGAGTTTTTAAAAGGCAGTTGCAAATATAAACAAGTTTCAATGTGTATTACATTCCTATATTAATTGAATTCCTATATTAATTGAATTAATCGAACTTTCTATAGGAAGAATTCTATGATATATGAACTTAGTATGAATATTTTAAAACATTGAAATTAAAACGATTTTTCTTGTTTTAAAAAAATGTTTATGAAATTTAAAAAGTTGTAAATAAATTACTTAATTCCAATTTGTATGATTGTTGTCCTAATGACTGTCCCTATTGTATTCTTATTATTATTACAATTATTTTTATTATTCAATTTAACATGCTTCATATTAGTATTTATTACAATTATTTTAATATTTTTTTATGCGTGATGAATAAAAAAACAATTATAAATAAAAACGATTATAAACCTACCGTGTGTCTCTTTGCAGCCAGAACCTGAATTTTTGATAACGCTATTGGCTAAACAAAATTTGTGTAAATTTGAATCACAATATTTCAAATATAATATTAGCAAAACCAGAGTATTGAATAAATATTAAACCAACCTTTTGGTCTTACTCGTTTAGGATAACATTTCACATTTTAAATTTTATCTAAAGGTAATAATCATTTCCACATAAAAATATAAAAATGGAACCAATTTGTTAGAAATAATAATTAATAATCATTTAAAAAAATTCCTAAACAATAACTGCCATAATAATCTTACATGATAAACTCATGATAAGCTGACACATATATTAAAGTATCAACTCATAGTTTTAAACTTATTAATCATGATTACCATTTCCTTCCATATTGACTTCATACAAATTGGGAGTTGAAACACTTGCTACACACGAAAGATCATCAGTATTTGAAATAGTTTGTGCTGAAGTATTATTGCTACTTGAATTAATTTGCAACAAAAATTGACCAGTTGTCTGTAATTGCATAGATACAGGAGGAGCTTGATATACATCTTTGTTCATTCGTTCAGAATGACCAAAATGTTGAAATATTAGTTCTTGTTCTTTTTTTGAAAGATGCAATTTAGCAAGTAATGAAGCAACTCTGTGCCTGTTTTTCGTTGCATTAATTGCTCCTTTAAGATTTAGTCGTTTTAAGATATCATTAATGCAGAGCCAACCACTAGCATGACCTAGACTGTTTTGAGTGCTAGCAAAAATATATTCGTTTTCTTTGTGAATTTCACCTTCTAAACGCACTTTTTCTTTTGTCAAATACTCCATCGCTTTTATGGTTTCTAATGGAAAAATTAAGGGTACTAAATGATCGCCCCCTTTGCCTGTTTGGTATGTTATAAGCATAGTACTATGGTCAAAGTCTTTTGGAAGGTCACCTTTGATAACCCACTCTCCGTTAACAGCTTCAGTCCACTGGTATATTTGAAGTCTTACAGGTTCTCCACCTCGGCGAGCATTAAAGATTATTAGATAAGTAGCAGTCGCAGATCTAATTTTAACATAATTACTTAATGGGTGCTCATACAAATCTATCGACAACATAATAGCTTTGCACTCCTCAAATAATAAGATTACATCTGCATCGTTTGGCAAGTTTATTGGTTTCCGCAAACTTTTATTTTTCCTGTAGTTCAGATCATAATATGCATCTCCAAATATTTGGTTTTCAAATAACTTAAATACCTTTAGAAAATCCACTACTCTATTAGATCTTTCATCTTCATTTTGAACTAAAAAATGACCTATAATTATTTTACCAGACAGTTTAATGATATTTAATATACTTATTTTGAGTCCACTTTTCTGGCCAGAAATAGAGAATTCTTTTAACTCTGTATCAGGGTTTTCACAAAGTTTATTTATTGATTTGCTCAAGATATCCATGGTTTCCCTGCGGAACATATCAGCTGCATTATTCATTTCTAAAACCAGTTTAACACTTGTTTGTTGCTTGTAGTACAACTTAAACAATAGATATATGCGAGCTAACAAATGCATTCGTGCACGTACAGTTCTACGACCTTCTATGAATTTTAAGTGAGTAAAATGACCTTAATCCAACCATTAAAATAATTTCATCTGTTTTAACACAATCTCCAACTTCATCGAGTATCAAAGTACTTATGAGTTCTTTAAAATCATCAGGATATTCATCAACTTTAATTATGGATGTTAAAGAAACAATAGGCACCATAACATTTATATTGGATGCTGGACAACTTAGTTGATGTCTAGCTTTAAATTTTTTTGAAAAGAACCCTTTACATTCAGAGCACATAACTGGCATATCTTGCGTACAATTGAAATTACGACGCTCTCTCATAAACTCATTATTTTCTGTTTTTAAAATAACAGAGTTATAATTTCTAATCCCTTTCTTTCGCAAAACATCTAGTTCTCTATCTTGTTCTTTTTTATTCATAGATAAAATTGGTATTACTAAAGGTTCATTTTTGTGTTTTTTAAGAATATGTCGCTTCAATCTTGTCTGTGTCTTTTGGCAAAACATGCAAGGGCGAGAAGGTTTTTTATACTTTTTCTCTAAGAATTCATTTTTAGATTTCATTTCTATTAAAGAATCTTTCTTATTTTTAAAAGTCTTTTGAAAACAAATTGTTTCTATATTTTTATTTAAAAAACCTCTTTCTGTTAAAGAATCATTATTGAATTCAACTGATTCTTCTGAGGAATCTAATGTTGTACCAAAACTATCAATTGGTGCATGGGTTTTATACCCACTGCAATTAAGCACAGACGGCAAAAGTTCTGTTTCTAAATCACTTTTATGGTTGAAATTATCTTTTTCTTGAGTTGCATTAGCTAGCAAAATATTGAGTGATGGTAGATATTCTATACTGGAATCTGAATCATAAAAATCCAAATCTACTATATCTGCTAAACATTTTGAAGAAGATGAAACTTCAAAATCAACCTTTGGCGTTGAGGAGTTAAAACTTTTATTAAATTTAGAAACTCTAAACATTTCCTCATTTTCTGATGTTGGTTGAGTATAAGGATTACATGATGACTTCTACATGAAAACAAACAATATGCAAAATTAATATTAAAAATACAAATTCTTAAAATTTTTTAATTAAGATAAAACTTCTTAACCAACCTTTGGAGTTGAATGGGGTAAACTTTCATTAAATTTAGAAACTTCCAAAATTTTATTATTTTCTGGTGTTAGTTGAGCTAGAGTATAAGGATGCCACAATGATTTCTACATGAAAACAATCATCTGCAAAAGTAATATAACAAATACTAAATATCTAAACTGATAAAAATTACTATAAGAAATTAATGAAAAAATGTACTAAAATGTAAATATATAAAGTTTAAAAAAATAAGCCTAATCGAATGATTAGATAGTTAAGTTGTACCAAATGACCGTCACACACATAATTTGAATTAAGAAAAAGAAAATTGAAAACTTAGGTAAATGAAGTAAAAGAAAAACCTTTTCAACATATTAAAAAAAAATATTCAAAGAATATTTTTAATGAATTTTAAATGACAACATTGACTAAATAAAAATATTTACCTGCTTTCTCCAATGCATCAATTCATCATGATCACCATAATCATACCTGTGAAAAATTATAAATTCGACTTTCACAGAAAATACTTTATATAAAGAGTTTAATTTCAAAAAGCTAGAACTCTTTTTTACATTAGCATTATCTAAAATTGAAAGTAATAAAAGTGAACCTAATTTCTGTCCCTATATCAATAGACTTTAAAGCAAACAGGCAGAGATGGACACAACTTGAAATAACAATTCTCTTCATTATTGAGTTAGCAAAATTTATTGTTGAGTCATTCACCATTTTTCCAAGCGAGTCCACCTGGTTAGTAGCATCGATACTGAAAGAAATAGTTCACAAAAATAAGGCAACTATATTATTTTTTATACTTTTGTCATTTCATTATTTTTACAGTGGATTCGATGTTGATTCGATTATTTCAAGTGTCAATTGATTATTTTTGTAATGGATTTTAAGTGGATTCCATAAAAAAAAACCTTATTTTAAAACATTACAACTAAATAGTTTTAAATATTCACTAGGTAATAGTTTCAAATTTCACTAGGCTAAAATGTCTCAAATAAAAAAATGACATAAAATGTAGAATTTCAGTTTACATACATACCATACAGATTTACCATACACATCTTTAATTCCATGATATATAAAACACCCAATTTCATTTTTTTCATAAGTTTTAAGTCTGGTGGCTGCTTCTCTTTCAGAAATAATCTCTCCTTAAAAATTAGATGATGGACAATTTTATATATTAAAAAAATACTAGTATATTATTAGTGAGAAAAATATTTCAACTTAAAAATTGATAAATATAATTAAGAATAAATATAAAATATTTATAAAAATAAAATTAAAAGCTTGCTTTTCTTATTTAGATTTTCCATAGTGCAGACATGAGAAATAAGACAAAATTATTGAAAAAAAAAAAGTAAATAAAAAAACCATATCACTATTTGAGCGCTCAAAATAACAGCTGGTCAATAGCATCGATCTAATAATATAGCTCCCAAAATTCAGTCAAAAAGAATACTTATTTTATAAGATTCCTATTACTGCTCTTAACTGTTACTACGAAAAAAAACTTGATGAATAATCTGCTGAGCAGAAAAAATATGTTGAGCACTGTGGGACGTGGTGGTAGTCAAACTCAGAATCTATTGCTTACAAGGCAAGCACGTAGTAAATTAAACTTTTAAATTTTTATTTGAATAATATAACACAAAATAAGGCAAATTAAATAAAAATTTCTTATAAATATGGTTTTAATCGATTAGAAAATAATAATTTATTTTACTCAACATAAATCAGAAAACGTATCATATTAAAAAAATTGCATATTTTCCTTTTTAATTTGGCAAGCGCTTTTGCACTCACCCACATGCCATTTTAAATCGTGCACGCAAGACAAATCGGACAGCACGAAATTTAATTATTTAAAAATCCTACCTCTGTACTCAAGCAAAAAACATCCTTTATCAAAATTTGAATTAGCAAATACACCAAATCCTATAAAAAGTTAAAAGACAAAATATATAAAAAAACAAAAAAATAAAATATTTTCAGTCAGTTTACATTTCAAGTGCAAAACAATTTACACAGGTGTAAAGGTGCGCACACGATTACTGCCAGTACCTATATATATTGCAAAATTAAACTCTGTGATTAAATCTCTGTTAAACTTCATTACAATTTATAAGATATATATTCCTTTAAATATATCATCTTTGTGTTAAATTGTATTACTTATATTTGATACCTTGTGGTGACATTAAAATCTAATTGTATTTATGTTAAATTTTATAACGATTTATATTATATATTCCTAATGGTGACACTAAACACTAAAATAAAATCTCTATGTTAAACATTATTACAAATTATACTATATATACCTTGTGGTGACATTAAACTCTAATTGTATTTTTATGTTAAACTTCATTACTATTTATATCATATATTTCTTATGGAGACACTATATGAAAAAAAAATTCTCTATGTTAAATTTAACGCTGTTTCTCGCACAATGGTACCATCGCTTTAATTTTTTTCTTAAAGTCACGGTAGTGATTTCTAATTGGTTGATTTTTTTTTTCTTTTTTTAAATAATGCATGCCCAAACCAAAACCCCTTAATTGAAGTATGTACACTCACTGCGCCTATCCCTAAATCAGTGGATGTATGTACACTCACTGCGCCTATCCCTATATATCAGTCGATGTTTGTAAATAATAAAAATCAATGTAACTTTCAATAAAAAAAAATAGTTAAAAAACATATAAAAACATTTCACTAAACGAAGGATTTGATCCCGGATCACCCCGAGATGATAATAAATCAGCTAACACAATGCTAAACACACTACTGGTTCAAGAAGTTTTATTTTTTTATGTACAAATAAATTTTTCAAAATCAACCAATCATATTCGCAGCCATGACTTAAAATAAACCAATCAAACTTTACTACCGTGACTTTAAGAAAAAAATTAAAGCAACGGTACCGTTGCGCTAGACATAACGTAAATTTAATTTGGATTTATATTATATAATCCTTACGGTGATGCTAAATTCAAAAAGAAAATGTCAAAGTTAAACATTATTACAATCTATATATACCTTGTGGTGACATTAAACTCGAATTATTTTCTATGTTAAATTTTATTACTATTTATATTATATACCAATATCAATATATTTTCGATAAAAGATCTTATAATTGAGGTCATTTACAAATAGTTAAATACTAGTCCTAAGTAAATACCATGAAATAGGATTAATAATACAAATAGTAATGATAATAATAATGATGATAAATTATAAGTTATAAAAATAATAAGAAAATTATACGATAATAAACCAATATCAATTTTAAAACAATTAAATATGATGCATAGACAGGAAAGTTACAAACAGTTATGTACTGACAAAACGTAACAATCTACCATGTAACTAAAACAATTACTGCAAAGATGAATAACAACAATTTAATAAATATAATAATCTTAATACCAATAATCATAATAAAAACAATAAAAATAAAATAAATCATTAAAAAATAACAATAAACAAACAAAGAAAAAATTATTCAATAATACTCACAAATAAAAACGTGTCACACGTGCACACAAATAGTCACAAAAGTATAGAGTTTTTATAATAAATGACAATATTCCTTTTTCTTTATTCAAAAACCGAGCAATTTTTATATTTTATTTTAATTTCTTTTTAATTACTTTCCATTTTCGAATGTTTTTCTCTTTAGCTTTGGTTTTTTGTCTCTTTCTTTTCCTTTTTGTTTTTTTTCTTTTGTTAATTTGTTTGATTTGTTTTTCAATTTTTTTTTTTTTAATTCTCTTTTATTTCTTTTTTTTTCTTCATTCTTTATATTTTTATCTTATTCATTTCTCTTATTTTATTCTTTTATCTTTACCTTTTTTTTATTATTATATTTATATAATTCGTTATAAAAAACCACCCACTATTCCGCAAGTCAATCAAAGAATATTTTTCTTATGGTGACAATAAATTCAAAAATATAACTTCTATGTTAAATTATATTGCCATATTATATATTTGTTTTGGTGACACTAAATTTTAAAATTTAATCTCTTTTAAAATGTATTACTATTTATATTACATATACCTTGTGGCGCTATAAAACGATATGACTGGATCTCTTTATTAAATTTTATTACTATTTATATTCCTAATGGTGGCACTGAATTCAAAAACAAAATCTCCATGTTGAATTTAATTATGATTTATTCCTTATTGTGAGGTTAAATTCAAAAATAAAATCTCTATGTTAAACATTATCACAAGTTTACATACCTCGTGCTGATATTAAACTCTGATCGTACTTCTGTTTAATTTTATTACTATTACTATTATATATTCCTTATATCATTTAATATTAAAATAGATTTAATAACGATCAATTTAATAAGTATACAATGAATTTATATAGATTGATCCGTCCTTTGAGACTTAAGTTAAGAATTATCAAAAGCCACTTTTAAAAAGTAAACAATTGCTTTGCTTATTATTTACTTATTTCTTCAACCTCACAACACTCCGTTTCCATTTTTCAACTCGTAACTTTTTTTATAAATAGCAAATTTAATTTTGCAAAATAAATTATTCAATATTTAATTAATAAAAAAAACGAAAGAAGAAACATTGTCATAACTACTTCACTCTACCTGCTATTTCATTTTACCCTGTTTTACTCTATTCCTTTTGGTGACGCTAAAAACTAAAAAAAAAAATCTTTATGTTAAGCATTATTACAACTTATATATACCTTGTGGTGAAATTAAACTCTGATTGTATTTTTATGTTAAATTTCACTATTTACAAGCCTTCTCATAAAAGGCATTCAGTGGCATGCCTTCTACGTCTATGCATAAAGTAATTTTTTTAGACATCTTGACCACGTTTTTGTATAGTAGGCGTTTTAAAAATTCGCGGCAAAATAAAGTTATAAGAAACTAGAGAATAAATCAGCAATACTCCAAGAAAAGAATCGACTATACAAAATAAATAATCTAAATAAAACAAGTTTAAAAAAATTTAGTAATAAGAAAAAGAAAGCTATAGTCAAAAAAAGTTTTTTTATTTTTTTTAGCGTTTGTTATTTTCCACTACCATAATTGATACAAGTTGAGGAAAAAAGTAGATAACAATGTAACGAAAACAAAAATATTTTTTGATATACAATTTTTTTGCAACTTTTTTTAGTCAGTATATTAAGGAAATACTTTAAAAATTGTGCTAGAAACACTGACAAATTTTACATTTGTTTTTCAAATGTCTTTTCTAGACTGCTGTTTTAATCAATGCACAGGAAAGCAAGAAAACTCATTGCTATTTATTTGTGAAAATTTTTTATATAAAAAAATGAAACGATGCAGCAAATTTTTGTGGGCTAGTGCATTGTTAGTTTACTGAACTTTTTAGAAGCCTATTAGAAACTTTTGTTCAAGTTTTTAAATACATTTTTTTAAATAGAGCAATCGTTATGTTCATTATCTCAAGCAACTCATATTAATATTGGAAACTGAGCAATATAATAGAAACAACTTCATACATGCATCAATTGCGGTAAATACATTTAAAGATGTTACTCTTTTATTAAACTTATTCCGCCATTAACAAAATTTATTAATCAAATAATATTTTTTTTAAATAAGTAACAGTCTATTTTCTTGTTTTCTCTATTATACTAGTATTGAGAAAAAATGTATAAAGTATAGCAAAAATATTTTTAAATGAAAAACGTTGTAAAACTAAATAAACAAAATAAAAGTTGTTGTTGAATAAAAGATTTTTTTTAACAACAACTTAATATATATATAAAACTTAATATATATATAAAAAACTTAATATATATATAAAATATAATAATATATAAAAGTTGTATTAAAATTTTATTAAAAAAAAAAAATTATTTTATTTTATTTTTTTAATTAATAAATTTTCTAGTTTATTTAATTAAATATGACACTTCTTTACTACTCAATGCATCTAAGGCATAGAACAAACAAACTCGTAAAAAAAAAAGCCGATAATTTTAAACAAATTCGATTGGTTGATAGTGGCAAACCAAAAAACTTTTTAGTTATTGGTATTTAATTTATGCAAACAAAGAATTTGAATTGAAAGTAATTTATTTAAAAAGTTTAGCTCCTCTGTTTTTTTTATTGTTTAGGCATTCTGAATGGAATGATTTATTATTTTAAGATGGCTGAATAAGTCCCAAGTTTTCCAAAAATTGATACTAAATACTGAATATAGTTTTTTAAATGGGGCTAAAGATTATGATTATTTATGCAAAAACGACTTCGGTAGAAAAATTAAAACTACCATAGGTTATCTAAATCAAACATGATATTATTTATAAACATACTTATTTAGGTGTGGTATTGAAAATAGTAACTTCAATTTTCATAAATGATTCTTCATGCTAATTTTCCCAAATAATGTCTGCTTAAAAATGTCAAATTACATTCATTGAAAAAAAGCACCAATATGAGCTTTTATGAAAAAATCAAATTTATAGACTTATCTATAGCCAAGCCCCAAGGTACTTTATGTTGAAAACTTCATCTTTTCTAAATAAAACTACGCTTGACAATTTGTTATAATCACATTACTCTTACTAGATTGAAACAGTGGCTAAAATAATCTTTCACACATACCAAATATGTGATGAAAAAACTTACATATATAGTTATTGAAAAAACTTATATTTTTGTACGGAAAAACATGTACCAGGCCTTAGTTGCATTGAGTAATTTGTTTCCTTATTTAAGAATTGTTTTTTTTTTTATAAGTAAATAAGTTTAGCATTTTGCCATGAATTATTGAAAAGTTTTAGAAGCCATGAATTATTGAAAAGTTTTAGTTAAAAGATGCGAACTGCTATGGTCAGTGAGTCTAAAAAAAGTATTTAAGGTGTGGACATACAAGGTGTGCAACCGCACGCCTTTCCCGGGAAGACTTGTATTTATATTATATATTCCTTATGGCGACACTAAATTCAAAAATATAACCCCTATGCTAAATTATATTACTATTTATACTATGTTGAATTTAAATATGATTAATATTATATATTCTTTAGGATAACTCTAAATTCAAAAATAAAACCTCAATGTTAAACATTTTAACAACCTATATTATGTATACCTTGTGGTGACAATAAACTCTGATTGTATTTCTATATTAAATTTTATTAGTATTTATATTATATATTCCTTATGGTGACACTAGATTCAAAAAATAAATCTCTATGTTGAAGTTAATTATGATTTATATTCCTTATAGCAACGTTATATTCAAAAATAAAATTTTTATATTAAACATTTTAACAACCTATATTATGTATACCTTGTGGTGACAATAAACTCTGATTGTATTTCTATATTAAATTTTATTACTATTTATATTATATAGTCCTTATGGTAACACTAATTTCAAAAATAAAATCAATATGTTAAATTTAATTATCATTTATATTACATATTTCTTATGGTAACCCTGAATTCAATAATAAAATTTCTGTATTAAAAAGTATTTTTTTTATTTGTGGTTATAACCCTCTATTAACTCTATAACTTCCAAACACGAACCTAGACGAGCAAGGCCGCTGCACGGAGAAACAAGTTGAGCGCGGTACTGCCAGGGATGTGGTGGGGATCGAACTCGGAACCTCTCCCACTACCACTACCGCATTACAACTGATATTATATATACAGGGTGGCCACATAAAATTTTTATAAGAAAGAGAGGAGAAAAGAGGATTTTGAAGGAGCTGTGGCCACCCTGATATACCTTATGGTGACAATAAATTCTGATTGTATTTAATATTTATGATTGATTTATATTACATATTCCTTATGATGACGCCAAGTTCGAAAAAAAAAAAACTCTACGTTGAATTTAATTACAATTTATATTCCTTATGGTGACACTAAATTAAAAAATAAAAACAATGTTGATATTATTTATGATTTAAATTACATATTCCTTATGTTGACCCTGAATTTAAAAATAAAATTTATGTGTTAAAATTATTACAACTGATATTATATATAA